TGAGGAATTTTACCAAAAAGTAGAACAGAGAAAGGGGTGGTAACTTAAGTGCGGAAGTTTGATCTAGACAGAACATTATAAGATGGGAGAAATAACGTGGTGGTCAAAGGAACATGGGCTCTACTCTACCTTCAGGGAGGGGGAGCTCTTCCTTAAGTATGGGCCACACATAGCAACTCCCTTCCAAAGAGCACAATGTGGAAAGAGTGGAGAAAAACTGTAGAAACCTGACAGGGACTACTCCAGCCAGGGCTAACATCAACAGTGACAATTATGTAAATAATGTGTACCACTGATATGATGTAATGAAAATGGTACTCTACTTCTTGTGGGCTAATTCCCCAAAATCCACACCCTCAGTCTAGTCATGAGAAAAACTTCAGACAAATCTCTGTTGAGGGGCATTCTACAAAACAGCAGGCCAGCACTAACCAGTACTCCTCAAAACTGCCAAGGTCATCAAAAACTAGAAAAGTCTGAGAAACCATCACAGCCAAGAGGAGCCAACGGCTACATGATGACCAAATGTAATGTGATACCCTGGATGGGATCCTGGAAGAACAGAAGGGACATTGGGTAAAAATAAAGGACCTCTGAATACTGTATGATTGTATTTTATAATAATGTATCAACACTGTAACAAATGAACCACACTAACGTAAGATGTTACTAGTAGGGGAACCTGGGTGCAGAGTATACAAGAAGGATAGCGAATATGAGGACTCTCTGCACTATCTTCTAAATTTTTCTATAAATTTAAAACTGTTCTAAACAATAAAGTCTATTTAAAATTAAAAAAAAAACATAGACTTTGAAGTCTGATCATCTGGTTAGAATCCTAGTCTGTGACTTACTAGACTATGATTTAAAGTAAGTTACTTAAATTCTCTGGGAATCAGTTTTCCTATCTATAAAATGGAAATAGGAAGAGTGCCTATCTTACAGAATTTTTGTGATAAATAATGAGATAATTGATGAAAAGTACTTAGCACAGAGTCTCTGGCAAACAATCAGCACTCAATAGATGTGGCAATTACTAGTAGTAGTATTACTATTATTTTAAATCTTGAATAAATATTCAAATACATGTTTAATGTGATTTTACATTTAATTTGTCTTAAAGTGATTAATAAGAATTTCTATGATAATTTTCCCTCTTTTGAGAGAAAAAAATTGAATACAATCTATCACATAGTATCTGTCAAAAGGGTTTCTTGCTCATTGCATTATAAGTGTTGAAAAGTTTTGCAGGGCGAGCTGCTCCAAACAATTTAAATACTAGCTCACGGTAACATAATGAAATGAACTGTCACCAGAGGCTTTGCGTATATGTTATTTTGTCTGTAAAGTAGTGTAAGATAATCAGTATTCTCCAATTGGGGTTCCAACTTTCATTTTAAAGGCATAAAATTATCAATATCAACCAGAGAATATATTATCTTGTAATTACTCTATTTTTAATAACAATAAAAGTGATTTAAAGAAAGATGTAGAATGTGTTTAAAGATAAAAAGAATTAAATGGAGTAGTGAAAATCTAAAGTAATTGTTATATTAACATGCTATTAAAGAAGAGAATTTGGTCTAAACAAATGGCTCCCAAACCAGACTGCGCATCAGATTCACCCCTGGGGCTTGGGAAAAAACCAAAAGCTGCCGGACCCTTGAATCAACAGCTCCAGGGGTGGGGCCTGGGCATCTGTAGCTTTAAAAGATTGCACAGGTGATTCCCATTTGTTAATGACCAGTCTCCCTTATCCTGTATACACTGATCATATCATACTCGCTGCCGTATGATATGCCTTTGTCGGAGCTGCCTTTGTAAACATAGCTTGATATTCACCACCATCATGATCAGCTCAAGTGAGAACCAACGCTGAGTTTGGTTAATCCTTCCTACTGCTTTTCTCTTCTCTTGCCTATTACTATCACAGTTGCTTTCTGTAACTTCTGATACCCTCTGTATTCTCAGGCTTTTGGCTGTCCTGAGCATAAAAGAAACTGTCTCCTTGATTCAGTCCTCCACACTCTCTCCCCTAAGGTCAAGTTTTCTCTCCCTGCACCTCTTTCCCTCATTTTTCCTTTCACTGTGCCAATAGGGGAACTCAGCCTATGTAGCACACGCAGTCACCCTCAGCCACCCAGAAGCTAGCCAGCCTTTCCTTCCTGCTGAGCCAGCAATTCATGAAGCAGCTGGTCCATCTCAGGTCTCCTTTCAGAGCTGTGGTCCGGAGTCAGGGGCAGACACAACCCCCTGCACGACGAATTACAGGTGGAGTATGGAGTAAACAGTTTAGATTCCTCCCCTATGAGAGAAGAAATATACAAAGGAACAATGGCCAAACTACATATAAAAATAGAACTCTGACCCACAATGTGCATCAGCCAGCCCAGGAAGCCAATGTACTATGCGGAGTAACCAGTCCAGGAAGTCAAATTACTCTCTGTAGGAACTAGTCCAGGAAGCCAAACAATAACCCTTACAGCAATTGAGACCCAAAATGGCCAGGGCTTCATTAATAACTAACAGATTCCCTAATTTTTGCCCCTGATTCCAACTTAGAGCCAAGTAGAGAAAGCCAAACATGTACCCTAAACAATCACACAGAATATCCCGTTTCTAGCTGGCCTGCGTACAGCTTCCCTAAGCCAACAGCCTCCAAGCAGGGCATTCCCGAAGCCTTCTCTTTTTCCTTTATACAGCTTTTCCAGTCCTCTGCTTGCCTTTGCATCTCTGTCAAATGCAAGTGATGGGGGCTCACTCTCTTGCTTTGAATAAGTAGCCTTTGCTTGTTCTCATCTGGGTGACCCTCATTTATTTCCACTACTAGGAAAATGGGGCTGCATGTTTGAAATGGCTCACTGAATGGTTCTTTCATGGTAGAGCTGGCTGTACTTCAGGGAGGCTGTGAGATGTAGCTGAAAGGACACAATAGTATTTGTGACCCTGAGGAAGTCACGGGGGGAAGTGAAGAGTGGCTGTGGGTAAGGGCACAGGCCCTGGATCCAGACCGCTATGCAGTCCACGTGTGTCAGCTTGGGCCCCTTACCTAACCAACTTGCAGCACAGTTTCACCTGTCCAAACACTGATGCTGGTAATAGCACCTGCCTGACAGGGGGGTTGGAAAGGTTTGTAAGACAACCCATGTAAAGCATGAATATCCAAATTTCAGTGCTAAGTAAGAGGGGTGGGGAAGGGAGGGAGGGAAAGAGAGGGAAGAGAGAGAAAGAGTTACAAATTCCAGGAAATCAATGGATGCAAAAACTGCCATGTATCATCTATTTCAAACAGATACGGTGTGGGAGGGATCTTATCTGTCAAATGCATACTGGAAATCTCCATGCTTTCCAGAAATCAGAGTTTTCTGATTTTTACTTAAAGGCTATAATTTAAAATTATAGAGCTTATAATACATAAACCATTTTTATGTAACTAGAAACCCAATGCCACATTCCAGAAAGTGTGGCCATATTCTTCACCAGCAACAAAACTTTTTTCCTCCTTGATCTTCTGCTATTCTTGGTAAGAATAACAGCTATTTCAGAGAACTAAAGTAAAGTTGTTTGGACATGTTTGTATTTATTTTCAACTAAGTAGACATCATGGAGTATCAAATCTAACAATAAACCTGTGTACTTAAGATTGATTTTTGTCTGAGTTCTTTTTTTCTTCTGAAATATAGTCGGTTTACAATGTGTTAATTTTCTGGTGTACAGCACAGTGATTCAGTTGTACATATATATTCTTTTTTAATATTCTTTTTCATTATAGGCCATTACAAGATACTCAATGTAGTTCCCTGTGCTATACAGTAGGACCCTGTTGTTTATCTATTTTGTCCAAATTATTTCTGATTATCAAACTCAGCGCTTCCAAAAGGCAGCTGCTTAATTTTCCAAAGTCTCCAAAAAATGGAGTTTTGTAGCCAACTTTCTAGATTAAATCAAAAAGCCACTCTCTAGCCTAAACCTTCATTCTACTATATTGGGTAAATAATCAAGATATATTTCACTAAGAAAACTGGGAGCCACGTTAACTACAAATGATATTTTACTTTAGCATTTCACATGAAATGTAGTTAATGTGGGCACTTGGGCATTTCACCTGAAGTTAAGGTGAGTGCATTGAAAACACTACGGGTTAAGTATTTCAAAGGTATAAAAATGTCTTCATATGAAACTTATATTCAAGGGGTCATTTTACAACGACCAGAAGACACCATGGGCGTTCTTACTCAAATTATTTAGAACCAAGCAAGACAGGAATCGTGGAGAAACATTAGACGGTTTCACGCCGGTAGCTGGTTTTTCCCAAGGCTCCGCTCACTTAATCTTGGAGCAACTCCTGAAGTTTCCTTGACAAAAGAGGGGGAGCTCTCGGGTGGGTCTCGGGGAGTATCCGCGCCCCTTCCCAGCACGAGCGAGGAAAGGGCAGGTTGGCGGTCGGAAGCCCGGAGGCCGCGCCGTCCTGGACCGCGCCCAGCCCGCTGGCCGCGCGGGGAGCACGTCGGACGGAGCGCGCGCGCGCCGCCCCGCCGCCCGCCGCCCCGCGCCCGGGCCGCACTCACCGAGGCCGCGCCAGCCGAGCGCGCCGTCGCAGCTGTCCAGGACCGCGCAGAACTCGCCCAGCAGCACGGGCGGCAGGTCGAACAGGAGCGTGTGCGCCGAGAGCGCGCCGCGGGCCTCGCCGCTCCCCGCCGCCGTCCAGGCCATGGCCGGGCTGCCGGAGACCGGGGGCCGGGCCGGGGAGGGACGCGGCGCCCAGGCCTCTCCACGCCCGCGCGGTGCCGTTACACAACCGCGGAAATCCTGCTTCCACGACGGCGGCCAGGACGGCCGCACACGCCGAGCCCGGGCCGTGCAGGGGGCGGGCCCCCCGTGACGCACAGCGCCGCTCGCCGGAGATGGCCCCGCGGACGCCGGCCTGGCCGCGGGCTCCCCCCGGCCGCGGCTTCTGCCTTCTCGTTGGCTTTCAGTATTCCACAGTCTTTTGGGTCTGGGGACGTGACTGAAGAGGCAAAGCATAGAGTGAGAGCTGGAGAAAGACCAGAAGCGCAGAACTGATGCAGAGTCCGCCACCCCCTCGGCCTTGCCTGGATGAATGTGAGATGCTCTGTTACGACTTCTTTAAAAACATTTTTCCCCATTTTATTCTGTTCCTTGAGGAACACTTGGAAAACCCAGAAAAAGTGAAAGGAGAAAAGAATCACTCATGGCCCCTACTCAGCTGAGGACAACCGCTCTAAACGTTGGACACATTTTCCTCCCAACTTTTACTGAAGTTAAACGTGCATGTCTGAAATAATTCGAAAAGACGAACGTAGATACCAAAAACAGAAGAAGGAATGAAGTGGAATAAAACTAGCCGTTTTCTTCACGAGACCGTCCCTTCTCCGTACTGCTGTTTGGTTTTACTGCCTTCTTTTCTCCCTGGGCTTCCCTGACGAAACAACCACTTTTTCCTTCCTCAGAGTGCTTCCAGACTCTTCCTCTTGCTGTCAACGGGAGAAGTTTAAGTAGAATTCACTATTGTTTTGAAATCTTCTACTGTTTATGCTGTAATATCCCACCGCAGGCATGACACAAATGACACTGACAAAAAAGAGGAGATGCTTCGAAAGGGGTGAGACAAATCCCAACCTTAAGGACTGACGAGTGGCCAATGGTTATCAACTGAAAAGTATCAAGCACCTACTTGAAACCATTCAGATTTGTACTCTTTGGGAATGGCGCCCCCTGGAGATCAACAGTGATGATGCACAGTCGTTTCGTACCTACCTGAATTGCCAAGCCCTTTTCAACTAAGGTAGTCCACAAGATATATTTGAAAATTGATAAAGCCCGTTATAATTTGGGCAGAGTTTCTGTGTTCCATTTTTCCAGTGTTCATATTGTTCAAATGGCTAAATTTTATTGTCAATCTGTACAAGCTTAAGAAGCTCTGTACTTCTCAAAGGGACTACCTGAATAAGCCTAGCATAGAGGCAAAAATCTAATTATTTGGTAGCTCTTGAATTGCTGGAACAGGGAAGCCAAACTCATATACGCAAAGGAGCCAGGAAATCATTGACTGAGTGAAGCAGTCAGCAAGGCGTGCTTTGCCAGATCTTCTGATTTACAGAGAAGCAAGAATTTTATGTGAAAGCCAGATTATGTGAAATCTATATAGATCATGTGAAATTTCTTGTGTCAGACCATGCTTCCTCACTGTTCCCTAAACTGCCTTTGACTTTTGACTTTTACATCATCAGGTTATATCAGTCACTGCTCCTTACTGTTGCCATCATCATCCACTGGTCTCCCCCACCTCAATTCCTCTTCCTCATTTTTAGATTCTGTAGCTCCTGCTGACTGTAATTCTCTCCAATGCTAGTTCTGTCTTAATCCTTGGTGATTGGAAATATACGTAGAATAGATGATGATCTTTCTAATTCCCTGGACCCTCAGTTCCTTGACTTGTCTTCCCCTCCAGTGAGTTTATGCCCCACTCTATTTCAGGCGCTCACTCGTCCGGTAGAACTTGTCATTATCGATAACTGCACCCCATCTGTAATTTCTGTTTCATGAATCTGCTCTCTGACCTCATCTCATACCCTTCTAGTGCATTCCCTCTAGTACTCTGACCCCAACAAGCCCTACCCCCAACCAGGATACCAAATCCAGAATCTTGCCACCTACTCTCTGGCCCCACCCTCTTGACATTCTCACTTTTCTTCTTCTCCATAAAGTCCACACTCAGTTATTGTAGTCCCTCCCTTGCATATGCTCTCCATTCCCTTGCTCCCCTCTCACTTTGTTGAACTCTCTTAGCAAATCTATCATCTTGATGAAATCTAATTTTCCGATTTTTGACTCTGTACCCATGCACCTGTGTGTAGCTGGACAGGGTGGGGGAAAAAACCCTGTTAATTGGACTCAACTTAAAATCAAAGCCCTGGCTCTCAAGTGGATTCTTTATACTGCCAGCAATCGCGCCATGGACCTTTAGTCCATTTACTCTTCTGATCTCCTTGACAACCGTTTTATGCCTTTTCTTTTCTCCTGAATCCCTTCACCTTCTCTCCTCCATCTTCATGCTCAGTTGATGATCTTAAGAATGCTGATGCGCCAGGGAAAATCTTCCACAGAGTCTCATTACCACATCAGCCTACCTACTAGCATCTATACCAACACTCACACCCCGCCTGACCCCCGACTTTTCCAGGGCTCAGTTGTCTAGGCACCTAAATCTAATCCCTTCACTTGGGCGCTAGACCTCATTTCCTGTCCCCTACTCAGAGACATTAAGGGCAGCTCTTCTCACGGTCTGTTACATCATCAATTTCTCACTGTTCACTGAATCAATTCTATTAGCATACAAATACGCTGTTATTTCTTCCATCCTAAAACAAACCCAAAAATTTGTTTGATGACATTTTCCCCTTTTATGCCACAGTCATCCCATTTCTTTGCTTTTTTTGTAGTAAAGAGTTGACTATTTTTTCTCTAATTTTTCTCCTTTTATCTTCTCAAAGTGACTGTAACTGGAGCCATCTGTCCCACTTTACTCCATGGAAACTGCTCTCTTCAGGGTCACCTATGTCCACGTTATTGCCAAATATAATAGTCAAATTTCAGTCCCCGTCTTACTTGGCCTATGAATTTTTGACACAGCTGATCACCCCCTCCTTCTTGGACACTTTCTTCATTTGTCTCCCACTTTCTCTTACATTTTCACCTGCTTCTTTGGTCACTCTTCGGCTTTCCTTGCTGTCCTTCTAGTTATCTCTCATCTCTTACTTTTGGAGTGCCCTGGGGCTCAGTCCACAGTTCTCTCGATCCACACCTACTCCCTTGGTGATCTCAGCTAGTCTCAAGGCTTTAAAGACCAACTATCTACCCAGAACTGCCAAATATACACATTTAGCCCAGACCTCTCTCCTGAACTTCAGACTCATGTCCAGAATTAAACCCTTAATTGTGCCTCCTGAACCTGCTCTGGTTTTCTTTCTTTCTTTTTTTTTTTTTTAATAATTTTTATAGTGATTATTTTTGGCAGGGGAGGTAATTACGTTTATTTATTTATTTTAATGGAGGTGCTGGGGATTGAACTCAGGACCTTGTGCACGCTAAGCATGTGCTCTGCCACTGAACCATACCCGCCCCCCATTGAACTTGCTCTTTGGCACTCTTCCTCATCTAGTTTACACCGTCCTTCCGGTTGCTTGAACCAAAAACTAGAGGGTCATCCTTGGCTCTTCTGTTTCTTCACAGCCCATGCTCAACACACCAGCAAATCCTGCTAACTCTATTTCAGATATATTTAGAATCTGACACTTTTCTCCACCTCCGCTGCTGTCACCCTGGTTTGAGCCATCACCCTGTCTCGTCGGGGTTATTCTAGTTGTCTCCTAACTGAAAGTGGCTTCCACTGCCACTTCCTACAGGCTTCCCTCAACACTACAGCCAGACTCATCCTTTCATTGTTCTGAACTTTTGAAAGGTGAGGTCATATTGTATGAGGGTGGGCCTTTTTATCCAATGAATGGTGTCCTTATAAGAAAAGGAAGGTTTGGACATAGAGACACAGAGGGTAGAAGGCCTAGCAACAATGAAGGCAGAGACTGAAGTGATGCAGCCACAGCCAAGGAAATCCAAGGATGCTGGTAGACACCAGAAGCCACCGGAGAGGCGAAGAACAGATGCTCTCTTAGAACCTCAAGAAGGAACCAACCCAGCTGACAACTTGATTTCAGATTTGTGGCCTCCAGCACTGTGAGAGAAGAAATTTCTTTTGTTTTAAGCCACCCAGTTTGTGGTAATTTGTTACAGAAGCCCTGGGAAGCTAAAACACGCCGTGAAGCCATTTAAAATCTCCCCAAAGTTACCCATTTCTTTCTTGGTTCCATAACACTTAGTACTCATTTCTGTCATATCTTGTTGTTGTTAGTTCCCCACAGGCGTGTTGAGGGTTGAAGTGTAGGGGAGTCCTAGCCATTTCTGAGTACTTAGCTTACTGCTTGGCACAGGTAAGTACTCTACAAATGTCTAGTGAATGAAAAAAGTAATGACTTTGCCTCTAGCCAATAATAATTACGGCTGTCATTTATTGAGCACTTACTCTGTACTGGGCACTGTACGTACTACGTTTCAACTATAATTTGCCAACACCAACTGGATGACCTATAGTTCAGTCTGATTCTAACACTCACTACTGGAGTTAGCATAGACACTGCCAAATAAGGTCAAGGGCTTTCATTTCTGACACTAACTACCTGGAATTAATACAGATCCTCTAAAGTAAGGACTCAGTCCCTCACGACTGTCCGCACTTCAGATGACCGCTGCAAGTCTCAGGTATCCCCAGGCTACCTGTACTTACGCCTGTTGGACTACACCTTTAGGGCTTCCCACGATCTGGTCTCCCATATTCAATGATTCCCTCGAATGACTTACAGAACTCAGGAAAGCTCTTTACTTATGACTACCTTCCCTAGTCCCTCCAGGGGTGCCATCCTCCCAGCTAGTTGATTCTTTCATCAACCAGGAAGCTCCCAGAGCCTCCCTGTTTCAGACTTTTTATCTAGGGCTTTGTTATATAAGCATAATTGAGTAAATCATTGACCACTTGATTGAACTCAATCTCTAGGAGGGTGTGGCTGAAAGTTCCAGCCCTTCGATCACATGCTTGGTCTTTCTGGCAGGCCAGCCCCTTCCTTATAACAATCTCAAAGCTCACCTTAAGTTACCTCATGAATTAGAATAAATTGAAATACAGAGGAAAGGGGCTCATTGTGAATAATAAAAGACACTTTGATCTCTCCAGGAATTACCAGAGTTTTTGAAACTCTGTGCCTGGAACTGGGCACAAAGACACAACATTTTGTATTATACCACACATTTTATCATATGAGAACTCTTTGAAGTAGGTATCAGTGTCATCTGCATTTTACAGGTAAGGAAACCAAGGCTTACGCTCAGAACTATGCTGCCTCTCTAGCCCAACCTTCTCCCAGTCCATTTTATTTCCAAATTAATCTACATTAAATAGAGTTTTCATCGCATTACTTCATCCAAAAACAAAATCTTTACTGCTGTCTATCACATAATAAAATTCTACTCTTCAGGGTTCTCTAAAATGCATTCCATGGTGGTTGCATTCATTCCTACCTCTGGCCAGTCTTGTTGCCTACTTTTCCTTCCTCCTTCTAGTATTTTCCCAGTTCCTCAATAGCTGTCAAATCCCACCTATCCTTGCATGTTTACTAAAGGGAGAGATAGTAGAGCACCTGCTATCACAGATCTAAGTGCTTTCCAGATGTTGCCTCCAACTTTGCGTATGTTCATACTCCAACAACCCCACTGTTTAGGTATTCTTATTCTTAGTTTATAGTAGAAAAAAATCTAGGCCTGGAGATACAAATTTGGGTGCTTAAAAGTTAGCGAGTTGGACATAGAAAACAAACTGTGGTTACTGGGGGAAAGGGAGGGGAAGGGATAGATTAGGAGTTTGGGATTAACAGATACACATTACTATATATAAAATAGATAAACAAGGACCCACTGTATAGCACAGGGAACTATATTCAATTCCTTGTAATGAGCTGTAATGGAAAAGAATCTGAAAGAAAATATATATGTATGTATATATATAACTGAATCACTTTGCTGTACACCTGAAACTAACATTGTAAATCAACTACACTTCAATAAAAAGTGAGAATTAAAAAAAAAGAAAATTAGTGAATGAGTGGACTAGAATTCAGACTCATTTATTTAGCTCTAAAAGCCCATGCTCTTTTTAAGTAATCCATGAGATTTGTAAACCTCTACTGTTCTGGTACCTAAAGTTAAGTTGTAGATAAAGCTCTATAAATGAAAAATAGATTAAAGATAGTAGTAGCTTAAGTCTCCATTTTCTTCAACATTGAATGCAGATGATTATCTACAAGCAAAAAAAAAAAAGTTTTTCTAGTTAATCCAGGAATAAGGATAGAATTACTATAGTCTGAGAATAGTCTAGGGGAGATTTTGGTCTGGAGTTGGTAGAACAAATGTTTTATTGTTTTATTTATTTATTTATTTATTTATCTTTTCCAAAGCATTTTATTTTTATTTTTAAAACATTTTTTTATTGAGTTATAGTCATTTTACAATGTTGTGTCAAATTCCAGTGTAGAGCACAATTTTTCAGTTATACATGAACATACATATATTCATTGTCACTTTTTTTTCACTGTGGGCTACCACAAGATCTTGTATATATTTCCCTGTGCTATACAGTATAATCTTGTTTATCTATTCTACATTTTGAAATCCCAGTCTGTCCCTTCCCACCCTCATCCCCCTTGGCAACCACAATTTTGTATTCTATGTCTATGAGTCTGGGTAGAACAAATGTTTTAGATGAAAAGGAGGGAGAATGATGCAGAGACAGTGAGAAGGAAGAGGAAAGAAGCAGGAAGAGGAAAGATGCAGACAGGTCTTAAAAACCACTAAAATTTCTTCAGATTAATGAGTTTATTTACAAAGAAATGTCCTTGAAACTGCAGCTTTAAATAAATAGAGGATACTGAGTTACTGGATTCCATATGTGTAAGTAAATGCTTTATTGTCATAACTTTCTTATCTAAACTGAAAGGAAACAAAAAATAACTTTTTTTTTCACTTTTTAAAACACAATTTAAAATTTTTGTACAATACACAGAACAGTACACAAACCCTCAGTATAAACAGCTTGCTACATTATCACAAATAAACGTATGTAATCAGCCAGGAATTAAAACATTATCAGAATTCCAGAAGTCCTTCTAGGTGCCTTCTCCCAATTATTATCCCTTCTTCCCTCCAAAGATAATTTCCTGGTATCTAAGACCATAGATTTATTTTGCTTGTTTTTCAACTTTACATGGAATCTTATAGTATATGTTCTTTGTGTCTGGATTTCTTTTGCTTAGCATTAAGTTTGTGAGGTTCATTCAAGTTGTGTGTTGTGGTAATTTGTTCATTTTCATTGTAGGAAGCAAGCAGTTATATGAATATACCACAGTATACGTATCTATTTTGCCAATAGTGTACAGTTGAGTTGTTACTATTTTTTGGCTATTATGAATACTGCTGCTATATGTGTATCTTTTATAAACATATGCAAGAATTTCTGTTGGGTATATACCCTATGTAGGAGTGGAATGACTGAGTCGTAGACCTTGTTGTGTATGTTCAGCTTTGGTAGATACTGGCAAACAATTTTCCAAAGGGGTTGCTCCATTTACATTCCCACTAGCAGAGCTGGCTACATAATTTGTGGGGCCCAGTGCAAAATAAAAATATGGGGTCTTATTTAAAAAGCAGGGAAAAGTCTAAATACTACAAGTACTAAAACATAAAGCTTTTTCATTTCTTTTGCAGTATGTTGACTTGCTGTGATTTTTTAACTTGCTATTTAATATCATTTTAAGTAAAAAAAAATACATATACTATTTAAAGGTGTTAGCACACATTTCACCATTGATCTTTCCATTGTGCAATGACAGTTTAAGTGTGCAAGCTCAGGTGAGGGGTATAGCTCAGTGGTAGAGTTCATACTTAGCATGCACGAGGTTCTGGGTTCAATCCGCAGTACCTCCATTAACAAAAGAAAAAAAAAGCTAAAGGCAATCTCATGTGTGAAATCACCAAAATTACACAATTTGTATTCCATAACTCATACATACATATGTATTTTATTCTTACTACAACTGTGGAAAAGTTACAGGAAACTAACTCAGATATTTTTATTTCATTTCCTGGTGTGTGCACAATCTACAAACACTCTCTACCTTGAGCTTTCTGATAAGGATGGACTGAAAAAAAAAGAAACTATGGTTGTGCTAGCTCTCCCTTTCCTTCTATAACCTTCTTTTTTTGTGTAAGTGGTTGGCTAATGCTGGGAAGTAACACAAAATATAAAAAGTTATGATGGGATTCTCTCGTTATTCATGTTTCTTAGAACAGCATTGTCTTCTTTCTGCATTCAAAGTGTTCTGATTAGTAAGGAAAGCTTGGCCTCTTGAGGCTGTCTGCACCCTTTCTCCTCCTTCCCTTTACTAAGTTGTAGATGTAACACATTTATCTTGTACTGGTTTTGAATCTAGCTAACTTCCACGCATTGCAAGTCCAATAGAATTCTGTGTTTCTGGGGCATCCTGAATGCTAAATGCAAATGGTTGGCAAGGAAGGGTGTGCACACTCATATATTGTGTGTACCTCTTCTGCTCATGCTTCATTGTGCTTTCACTTATAAAACACAATTTCAAAGGCAAAATTATTAAGAATTTCAAAATAGTGACAACTGAGCATTTAATCAAGTGCAATGTCCTTCTGAAAGCAGGGCCTTGTGCAATTGCACAGGTTACAGTATGAAGCCAGTTCTGGTTTAAGAGTTCCAGTTAATCCACAAGCTTTTCAACACTTGGTATTGTCAACCTGTTGATTTTAGCCATTTGGTGAGTAAGTAGTGATATCTCATTGTGGTATTTATTTGCATTTCTCTGAATATTAATGAGGATAAGCATCTTTTTATGTTTATTAGTCATTTGGGGTGTGTGTATGTGTATGTGTGTGATATTCCTGTTTGTCTATTTCTCTCTTGGCTGCCTGTCTGTCTCTCTCTCTTCTCTTTTTCTTGATTTTTAACAGTTGTTCTTATATTCTGGAAACGTGTAGCAGATAACTTCCTCCATTCAATGACTTGCTTTTTACGCTTTTATAGTGTATTTTGATTACCAGAAGTTCCTAATTTTAAAATAGTTTACTTTGTCAGTCTTTTCCTTTAGGGTTAGCTGCTAGTTCATGTCTGTTTTCAGAAGCTGCTTTCCTCCAAATCATAAAGATATTCTCCTATATCATCACCTCAGAGTTTTATTGTTTTATCTTTCACGTTTAGATCCACAATCCATTTGAAGTTTACATATTTTGTAATTGGTAGGGGATCAAACTTTGCTAATGCTGTTTTCAGTCAGTAAAATGATGGGTTCCCAGTCCAACTCCAGTTTGTTCTGTATAATAAATCCTATTGTGGCTTTATGTTAAAATTAGTCATGTGTTTTTGAAATGTGTGTAAAATCATAAAAGGTAAGTTTTTTTGCTTGTCTTTATGGAAGAGAGGTTAGTTCTCTTGACAAAGCTTCCAATAACATCAAGTTTAAGGGCTTAGTTTCACAATAGGCAGTTCCACAGCTATTCTGAGTCCCACTTTCTAAGTCTTTTGAATGTTATCGTTAAAGTGGGGATGGCAAATGTGGGTAGATCAAAGTAAACTCGTCAAAAAAAAATTCGAAGGGGCCCCGGGCTATTTGCGTATATCTACACCTCACCTTCCTGTTGTCTCTCCCACCTAACCTAAAGCGACCGCCTTCCTCGCAGCCTCACTGAAGCTGTGAGGCGGGGCCGTCGATTAGCCGCGGCTTCCTGACGGCGGCCGCTCGGCTGGTCGGGGCTGGGCTGCTTCCTGCGGAAGTGGCTCGGAGGCCGTCGTGCCGGCGTCGTGTCCCCAACTCCGCGGGGCGGCTTTGTGGGGGTCTGTGCCAACATGGCTGACCAGGACCCCCGCTACCCCTGCTCCTCGATCGAGGACGACTTCAACTATGGCAGCTGCGTGGCCTCCGCCAGCGTGCACATCCGAATGGGTACGACACCCCTCGTCCGGCCCCTCCCGGCCGCCCCTGGTCGGTCCGTCGCGCCGCTGGCCCCTGGGGGCGGGTGTCCGGCTTCCGAGCCGAGCCGACCTCTCTCCCCAGTGGGGATCGTGGGAGAGCGCAGGTCTCCTGGGGCTCAGAGGGCAGCCTCCCCTCCTCCTGCTGGCCCTCCGGCTCGGAGGAAGGGCGTCGTCCCCAGGCAGGAGCTCAGAGGGACAGGCGGAACGGTACCCCAGCTGTGCGCTCAGAAACCTAACCTGGAGCCCATCCTGCCCGAACCGTGTCGTCTTCGGGGTAGAAGGGGACGCTGAAAAACCTCAGCAGCCT